TCTTGTGAACGACTAATCCCTTGTAGGGGATTGTTAATCCTTTTGGCATGTTCATCTATACTCATGAATTTATGTTACACCCAAGAGTACATTGTTTTCCCCATTTTCAGGTAGATAGAGTTGTACGGTCAAATTATAACCCTAGGACATGGTGTTCGATGACATCCTCAAGTCTAGGACGATCTGCACTACCAAACGATGAGAAACATTACAAATCCAACGACTCTCTACAATGAATCATTGTGAAGTCTCTCAGCGAGCCATCTGTTCTCTAACAGATCCACCCACGACATCAACTAAGCATCACCATGCCTGCATTCCATGAGGTCCCTACCTTGTATCTATCTATACAAGTAGATGATGTCGTACTAGTCTTATTGAAATCACCAATGCCCTATCTTGGTGATTTAAGATTAGGAACAAGATTCAGGTAATAGACATGTAGTGTCCTCGAGTCCTCATAATCATGATCCCTATCATAGATCCTCGAGTGAACACTCATTCTATCACTAGACCTTTATTGTTAAACGCATATTAATCATAAAATATAGGCGAGAGATAAATATGATAAAGATGAAGTGTGCTCAAATATATGAATCATGAAGTACCAAACAATACAAGGTGTTAATATGATAAAACAGATAGTCTCTAGGACATCTACATACTAACACGACCCTCACCTCTACCCTAGTATATAACTGAGGACGAGTCTTGGAGCGACAATAAGGTTGTTCCTTTGTCACCAGAAGGTCACGGGTTCGAGTTTTAAAAACAATCTATTTGAAAAATGGCATGGGTAAGGCTGTTTATAATCAACTCCCATCCCTACCTTCGCAAAGTCGGGGAGACTAGAAAAGAAGACTTGTATCTTATTAAATTGTGTAATATCTGTATAAAAGTTCTCTATTTAAAGAGATTAAAAAAACCTAATGGGCTAAGCCCAAATACACTTATAGAGTATTCTAACTCTTACAAAATAATAATGAAATAATTCTAATATTTCCCTCAAGCTGAGGAATGGATATTTATCATTCCCAGCTTGGTAGTAAGTTCTTGAAATCTATCATTAGGAAGACCCTTAGTTAAGACATCTGCCAATTGACGACCAGAAGGAATATATGGAGTAGTGATCAGTCCATTATCTCATTTCTCTTTAATGAAGTGACGATCAATCTCAATATGTTTGGTTCGATCGTGTTGAACTGGATTGTGAGCTATACATATAACTGACTTTTTATCACAAAGTAACTTCATACATCCTTCATATCTTACCTTGAGATCATCGAGAATGATTTTCAGCCATAATAACTCACAGATACCTTGAGTCATAGCTCGAAATTCTGCTTCTTTACTTGATCTAGCAACCACATTTTGCTTTTCACTTCTCCATGTTATAAGATTTCCATAGAGAAACATACAATAGCTCGAAGTAGACCGTCGGTCAGTCACGGATCCAGCATAATCGGCGTCTGTATAAACTTCTAAGGATATGTTTCCTCCTTTCTAGAACAATAGTCCTCTACCTGGTGTGCCTTTCAAATATTGGAGAATCTTGTCCACAGCTCGCAAGTGTTTCTCCCTCGGATCATGCATAAATTGACTAACAACATTAACTGCATAAGCTAGATCAGGTCTAGTATGAGCTAAATATATCAATCTTCCCACTATCCGTTGATATTGTCCTTTGTCAACTGGAGAGCTCTCATTTTCACTTCCTAGTGATTCTGCTCAATCGGAGTATTGAAAAGTTTACTCCCATGTTTGTCTGCTTCTTTAAGGAGGTCAAGAACATACTTGCTTTGACAAATAAATATCCCCTGCTTTAAATGAGCAACTTCTATCCCAAGAAAATATCTCAGTTTTCCAAGATCTTTAACTTCAAATTCAGCAGTCAGTCTTTTTTTCAGAGAACATTTCTCACCTATATCATAAACTAGAAGGATAGTGGTCTTACCTTCCTGAGAATGTTTATAGAAAAGTGTATGATCCCCTTGGTTTTGCTTGTATCTCAATGAAAGCATAACTTTGGTAAATATTCCAAATCAAGCACGCGGGGATTGCTTCAAGCCATACAACGTCTTCTTTAACCTAGAAACTTTATTATCTGCATTTGTAGAGTTAAATCCTGGTAGAATCTCCATGTAAACCTCCTCTTCTAATTCACCATTGAGGAAGACATTTTTCACATCAAATTGATTCAAATCCCAGCTAAAATGAGCAGTGAGGGACAATAGAACTCTTACAATGTTCATTTTGGCCACTGGAGCAAATTTTATTCGTAATCAATGCCATATGTCCGTGTGTATCCCTTGGCTACCAATCGAGCTTTATACATCTCAAGAGTCACATTAGAATTGTACTTAGGAGTATACACGCATCTGCACCCTACTGTCCTTTTTCCATTTGGCCTGCCAACAACTTCCCATGTATTATTCTTCTCCAATGCAATCATCTCCTCATGCATGGCTTGAACCCAATTATCATCATTTAATGCTTCATGTACTGATTTCGAGATTGAAATGGAGTCAAGTGCTGTAATAAAACTTCTATGGTGCATAGAGAGATTCTTAGAGGAGACAAAATGAGAAATAGGGTGTTGGGTACAAGACCTTTTCGCTTTTCTTACAGCAATGGGTAAGTCATCAGAATTAATATCAGGCTCAAGAATAAAAGAAGTAGTATGTTCAGTACTTACCAGCGGTTCAGGCGATTGCAGTTGCTGGTGGGGCAATGTGAGTTCTTTCTTCTTTTGGTACAATAGTTCGGGTGTCCCAGCTTTGCGTACTTTCTGTCTATCAATAGGAGGCATGTCACATGAGGAATCAGATGAATTTTCAGCCTTAGCAATTAAGTCTTCCTTCTTATTGTCATGTAGTGTAACTACTGGAGTAGAATATGTGGGTAATAGAAAGGGAGCAGACTCGAAGAAAATGGATGAAGCTTCAATACTATTCTCCCCTGAAGCTGAGGGTGTAGAAAGTAAGACTCAGATTCATGGAAACTAACATCTATAGAGACAAAGAATTTACGACTTGGAGGGTGGTAACATTTGTATCCTTTCTTGTTAGGAGCATAACCAAGGAAGACACTCTTAAGGGCTCTAGGCTCTAATTTACTCCAATGTTGTTTATGGATATGGACGAAGGCCACACATCCAAAGATACGAGACTGGAGACTTTGCATAATTGGAATTGAAGGAAAAAAAGAGGTCATGAGATCAACAACACTTACATGGCTAAGGACTCTGCAAGGTAGACAGTTGATCAAATAGGCTGTAGATAATAAGGCTTCTCCCCAATAAGAGTTGGGTACAGATGTCTGAAACAATAATGCTCTGGTGACTTCAAGCAAATGTCGATTTTTTCTTTCAGCAACCCCATTCTGTTGAGGTGTATCCACATATGTGAGCTCATGAATCATACCCTTATCTGAAACGAATTGTGATAGACTCTGGTTGACATACTCCGTACTATTGTCAAATCTTAATCGCTTAATACTTTTACCAAACTGTGTCTCGATCATTTGATAAAATCGAATAAACAATTCTGGTACTTTTGACTTGCCTTTCATCAAGAATATCAATGTCACCCGAGTGCAATCATCAATAAAAGAAACAAACCACCTAGCACCTGAAATATTATGTACTTTAGAAGGGCCACAAACATCTGAATGTATATGAGTAAAGGGCTCAATACTCTTTATTGAACTTGAAGGAAAGGGCACGCGGTGGTGTTTCGCAAGCTCATAAACATCACAATGGAAGAAGTCAATTGACTGATCCTTAAACAAAGAAGGAAGCATTGACTTCAATAAGCCAAATGATGGGTGCCCCTGGCGTTTGCGATGAAGCCAAATCTGTGAGAATGAAGTAGACGGGTGATGACACATCAATAATTGATTTCTGGTATCCCTTGTAGCATGCTTTGGAATGATATAGTACAACCCACCCTGTTCTTTAGAAACTCCAACAGTCCTCCTTGTGGTGATATCTTGAATAACACAATGGGTAGAAAAAAAGATGACAGCACAATTCATGTCAATTGTAAGCTTATAAGTGGAGATAAGATTGGTAGAGAGCTGCAGAACATAAAGAATATTTTTTTAAAATAAGAAAGGTTGAATTTGAATGTTACCAGAACCCACAACTGATTTGTGGGATCCATCAGCTACAGCTATAGTACGGATACCACTAGTAGGGTGATATGAAAGAAAATAATCAACTAGACAGGTCATATGATCAGTTGCACCAAAATCCATAATCCATGAATTTTTGAAATCAGTGCAAAAAGTAAGAACAGATGTAATGTGCGTGATCTTACCAAACATAGTCGATCAGAACAGTAAAATAAAATAAATTTCTCTTCCATTTTTTTTCTTGTGAACAGTAATGATGAACAGTATGCGTGAACATTGTCGAGTGAACAGTACTTTTTTTTTTGAACTGTTCCGGTCGTCTGATGAAAAAGAAACTTCCGTAGAATGATAGATCTGAGAAAACGGAGTGAAACAGGGGTCTTCACTGTCCAAAAGGTCCCCAAATTTTTTTTTCCGGCGGCGAGAGGCAAATAGTGTTTGGTTTTTAGAGGCGGTGATTTGCGGAAGCAGAGCCCTCAGAATTGAGAGTTCTGATACCAACTAGAAAAGAAGATTTGTATTTTATTAAATTGTGTAATATTTATACAAGAGTTCTCTATTTAAAGAGACTAAAAAACCTAATGGGCTAAGCCCAAATACACTTATAGAGTATTCTAACTCTTATAAAATAATTATAATATTTACAATAGGGAATTAGAGAGTCTTATATATAGGGATTTGCCCTTTTGCCCTTTACTTGTATACAAATGCACCGACATTTAAATCTTCTATTCTAATGCAACTGACAAAGAACATGTTCAGCAATGATATAATTGCTTTTTTCAAAAGTTGTTACCTCAATTTGATATTAGTCAGCTTAACTATTGACAATCGCTTCGTTTATTTTGTGGTTATTTACATGGAAGAGGAATGAAGTGCTCATATGGCTAGATGACTTCTCGTTGGATTAGCATGAATGCAGTAATCATGGCTGCTTTTTATCATCAATCCTCACAGCAAGTCATTCTCAAACGTGGTTGGCTGAGTATATAAAAGGTATTATTAGAAATTCTCTTCAGGTTCAAGGAGGGATGTTGGGAACCAAAAATAGGCATATACTACAGATTGAGTAAAACTTTGAATAGGGATGAATAAGATACATGTTGATTTCTTGCTACTCATCAAGTTGTAAAAGAATAGTAAGTGTGCAGTTACCACTTTTATTTATTCTTCGGGTTTGGCTATGGCTTGCATCCGCAGTTTATGTATGACATAATTAAACAAAGGAAAAGCTTCGGCATTTTTGATAAATACTTTCAAATTGATCATTAATTTGTTATATATAAAGTCATTCATAAGCCTCTACCTAGCAGTTTAAGCTTTTTATAATAATCTAAGATTTGAACTTGTTTCCTTTCATGATAAAGAATTATCCGTGATAATTTTACCATTGATTGTTTGGACCCCTTATGGCGTTTCTAAAAGTGTTGATTGCAATCTTTGAGATTGACCTATCCACTTTTCAGCATTACATTTTATTAGTTAGTTTAGTACTTGCAAAGATCTCGAAAGCTGGAACGGCACCATGCTAATATGGTTTTACATCAAAGCTTTCATGGTCTTGAAAGCTGCACGTTGGGACTGGACATATATGCAGGGATCGGTCAAAGATATATCGAGTTACAAAACTTTGTTTGAGCTGAGATTGGCATCATTGCAAACATGACATCCAGGGCTACAACTTATATGCAGAACACTTTCTAAAATTGCACCGTTCTAATAGTCGAAATTAGGCTACAACATAAGTCAAGGGCGAAGGTTGTTTCGAGAATCTGTTTGCTGCTTCAGGTTCTCGGTGCTCTAGATGTGGTTGTGTCATGAGGGATGTTACTGGACAATGATTCTGAGTTTATGTTGTAACCTAGGGTTTGAGAATTCGTTAACAGCAGAAAGAGGTTTCCTGGAAGCGATGGAGTTGGCTAGGAACGCAGGGTATAGACGTGTTTGGATAGAGGGTGATTCCTTGGTGGCAATTAACTTCATCAGTTAATGGGTGCAAAGATCATCATCCTATAATCAATAGAATCTGAAAGCTCTTGCTTACCAAAAAAAAAAAAAAAGAATCTGAAAGCTCTTGGACAGAAACTGGTTTACAATGGTGACCCATACGTCTAGGGAAGGCAACATACTGGAAAATTGGCTTGCAACCTATTCACACATTTTTTATGATTGAGAAACTCGCATTCTGGAGAAATCCCCTCTAGAATACTTGTGGCCTTGCTAGGAAGAGACTTGATGGGTGTTTGTAGCCCAAAACTTTGCAGATCTTAGTTTGTCTTTTGTTGTAGTGTTCCCTTTTAATAGGAAAAAAAAAAAACGTAAAGCTAAGAATACAGGAAGAAATTTTTCTAAAATAAAATGGTTTCCTCGAATTATCTATAAATTGAAGGATGTGCAAATGCCTTAAAGATCTGTAAATTTTGAAGACGAAGAATTTAAAGATCACTTTCTCACCTTTGTAGATAGAGCTTTTTTTCTTATTTTTTAGTTTGCCTCCTCTACAGCAGGCTTTTGATTTATATAATCTTTTATTTAATTTTTTTTTCTTTCCTTTTCTGTTTGCCTCTTTCATGAAAGTCTTAGAATTTTTTAATCTTTTCTTTTATAGTTTGCCTCCTTCATAGGATTTATATATTCTTTTCTAGCTTGGCCTCTTCCACGAAAATTAAAAGGCTTAAGATTTATGTAATTTTTTCTTTTCTTTCCTCTCATTTTCTTCCCTAGTTTGCCTAGTTTGCCTCTTTCATGGAAGGCTTGGCTTTTCTTTTCTTTTCTCTATCCTTCTATGGGGTGCCTCTTCCATGGAAGTGTTAAGATTCATACAATATTTTCTTTTCTTCTCTTTTATCTGTCTTCTTCACGGAAATATTATGATTTATGTGTTTTTTCTTTTCTTTTCTTTCATTTTTTAGCTTTCCTCATCCATGAATTACGTAATATTTTATTTTATTTTATTTTTTTAGTATTCCTCCTCCACGTAAGACTTAGGATTTATGTAATTTTTTAGATTATTTCCTTTTCTTGTTGCCTTCTCCATGGAACACTTGTGATTTATATGTAATATTTTCTTCTTTGTTTTTCTAGTTTGTGTCGTCGGTGGAAGGCTTAAGATTCATGTAACTTTTTCTTTTCTTTTATAATTTGCTTCTTCCATAGAAGGCTAGGATATATTTTGTAATATTTTAATTTTTTCCCCTCTTCCATTGAAGGAATCTTTGTAATCATATATTTTTTTTAACACATGATCTTTGTAATCTTTTTATGTATTTTATATTTATTTCATTTTTACTTTTAGAGATAAAACAAAAAATTTACATTTGTCTCAAAATAATAATTTTTAGAAAGATATATAGGGGGGGTTGAGACAAGGATTTGTGGCATAAACATTCTTGCCCTTTTTCTGATATTCTTATTCTCTTATATAAAGATTACAACATACTAGAATGATAAATAAAAGGAAATAAACTAAACAAGGAAATAATTAAAAATCACGAGAAATAAATAACAATGAAATTAAAATGGTAATTCAGGAAATAAACGAATCAAAGATCACTATCTAATTCAGTCAAATATCACAATCCGATTCAGCATTGTTTTGTGCTTTCGTCAATTATAAAGTCCACCAGGTAATTTGGTCTCTTGGTGTAATATAATAATCATAATATGGATAATTCAAAATTAGAGAATTATTACGAGGACCTAAGGGTCATTAATGAGTTGAGGAAGAAATTATATGAATTTTGATATCCATATTGTTGGTATTTTAACCAGGTGAATTTTTATGTACCGAAAAAAAAACAGGTGAATTTTTGCATGTTAATTTTGACTGCTGATGCAGCAATAGACAATAGAATAACTCTAACCTGGTGAATATGAGTTAGAGAGTTATTCTATTAATATCAGTATCATAAATGAGTATAGAATTCAATTCTATAAAGATTGACGCCCATATGTGGGTATTCTGAGAAAGTGAGTTTTGACTTAATAGTTTGTACTGCTGAGGCAATAACATGTATCTGATCAACCCTAATCAATGAATCTTAGATAGAGGACTATTCTAAGGATATAATTGTCATAAATGATAAAAGAATTTGATTCTGTGAATTCTGATACCCATATTGGGATATTTTGATAAAGTTATTGTTACCAGGTATTTTGTACTACTGTGACAGTAGCCGATATAGTTCTAAAATGAGAAAAAGATGAGAAAAGGGAATATAAGTCAAATATATGCCAAACAAGTCATGATTAGACCAATGATGTAAAGTTAAGAAAGTTATGAAGTCTGGGTACACTTAAGAATACCTGTAAGGACTACAGTGTAGTTAAACAACAGTAAGCATATCGTGAGTTACTAATTAGATTTTTGAGTTAGAAACATGTTAATTAAACAAACTTAATATTAATTACTTAAAGTCGGGATCTTGGGAATTTTCGGGTAAAAATTTGGTAACAATTCAAAGAAAAATTACACCAGGTGTCACTAAATGATAGAAAGTCACTTAATGACATGGCAAAACCCTAAAAACTTAAGGAGACCCTCTTCCCTTGCAGCCATCAGCGCCCAAGCAGCCCCCTCTCTCTAAATTTGAGTTTTCAAAATTTCTCCACCTTCTCTCTAAGATTCCACCACCTAAACTTCATCAAAATCCAAAAAACTCTTCACCAATCTTATTCCTTAGCTCTTGAACTTGTGAAAGCTTGTATTTTTGAACCTTGGAACCTCATTTTTGTGGCTGCACCCTCCCCATACAAGAGCTGCACATTCTTTCCTTTTATGGAAAAAAAGGTGGTTAAAGCTCCTTGTTGAAGAACACTCCTCTTTTGGTCATTCTTTGAGTTCCTAATGTAAGTTCCTTTCATTTTCTTCTTGAAAAACCCTACCTTTACTCTTTTAAACTTATGTTCTTGGTTCTAAATCCTTGAATATTTTATGAAGGTGTGTTCTTGGAGAAAAAGAAGCATTTTTGGTGGGTAAAGTCTTGAACTTGAGCTAAAGGAGCCATCTTGGAGAAGTAAGGCTTGAATCAATCGAAAAGATGACCAAAAACCCTCTTTTACTTCACTTTTGATTTCAGCCATCACGAGTTTATGGTGTTAATGATGTTGTATTCTTTTAAAAATGGAGTCTTGGTGTTTAAATGTGTTGGTGGAAGTCTTAAACTCAAGAAAGATCTTCACTTGTAAGAAAAAGTGTCACATTTGGCTTGTGTATGAGTTGTTTCGTGAAATGGATGAACTAAGAACCCTAAAACCAACCTTGATGATTCTTCCCTATTCATTTAAATTACGGTTTGATGGTTAAAATTACTAAAGATGACACCTTTGTGGACTAATGGCTTGAGGTACTTGATTAAACCAAGAAAGAGTGTATAAAGACAAGTAAAAATCCTAACTTTGTGCACTATGCAATTCGGTCATATGGTGTAACCTAGGGTTTGGAATTTTAAAATATGTTATAAGACTTAATTAGGACACTAATAAAGGGATTAAGTGAGGTGGATTAAGTGTAACACTCCGTGTATACCCGGATTGTTATCATGATACGATATTAAGCGCAACTCAATTAAATTGCGGAAGCTAACTTTTTCTTTTCAATTATGACATCATTATTATTAACCAAGTTGATTACTTAATCCTTTTTCAAAAAATTTCCTGTATGTGCATTGCAATAAAAGCTAACTATACTGAATAACCTCATAATATAATTAAGTGTGTATCTAGTCATGGAAGTACAACACATAGACCAGACAATATCCTGATACAATTATACAACTCAAATCTAAATAAACATAGCCAAGTCAATGTGGCATGGACAATCCTCATGCTCACCAAATAAACAACACAATCATCAAGTCTCAAATGCAATAGTCATAGTAGAAGAATCAGACATGATCATATAAGGTATCTAAATCATCAAGCATATACCAGTCAGCTCAGCTCCGGCCTCCTACCGCCCGAGGTCTCAACCCCCGAGGTACCTGAACCTGAAAATGTTCCCCAAACGTGGGGTGAGATCTCTAAAAATAAATCTCAGTAAGACAAGGGGTCCTCAAGGATCTCTCCACCCCAAGCTCACTTACATGTGCAATATAAGTTCTAAAACAGTAAAACAATATAAGTTCCAAAATCAGTGCAATGCAGCATATAATCATGTCATGTGCGTCAGAATCCTACTGGCCAGAGAAAATGCGGGAATTACATACGTCTACTGTAACACCCCGTGTATACCCTGTTTGTTATCATATCATCGTATTAAGCGTTTCTTAATTAAAATGCG